GGCGGCCGCTACGGATGCGGACGACACACGAGGAGGACCACGACGTAGGCAACCTTCGCGATCGTTTACCGTGCCGCTACTGTTCCTACGTGCCGATCGTGGTGGTGGTGGACGAGGTGGTGGTGGACGACCCGGCGCACTATTCCCTCCGACACCGCCAACTGAGAGAACGATTGATCAACGAGGTGGTGGTGGATCAACCTGAGGTGGAAATGGAACGGCGACGACGGTGGTTTGCCCGCGTCGACGATTGCCACGAGCGCACCACGTGTTAACGGAACACCTGGTGGGAGTTGCTGTGCCTCGATTACGAACCTGAACGCTAGCCAGATCGCCTGACCGACGGAGAGGCACGGGTGACGACGGGATGAGCTGCCGGTTTTGGACAGGTGCGAATTTAGGGGTGGGCGAGGTTTTGGAGACTGATATTTTAGGGTTCTTGGAGCTAGGGAGGTTTATGATTTAGGGAGACTCGGATTTGGATATTTGGGGAATGGGAAGTTGAAATAGGGAGACGGAGATTTAGAAATTTAGGTATTGGCGATATTTGGGGGGTCTGGAGATATAGGAAGTAGGGATTTGGGTATTTAGATATTTGAGAATTGGGAAGTTTGGAATACAGAAATTTCAGGGGTGAAGTGTCTCGAGATTTTGGAATTTGTGAAATTCGGGAATCTGGAGATTTGGAAATTAGAGAATCTGGAGATCTGGGAATTTGGGGAATTAGAGAATCTGAAGATTTGGGAATCTGGGCAATTAGAGAATCTGGAGATTTGAGAAATTGGAAGTATGGAATTTAAAAAATTTGTAAATTGGTAAGTTTGGAAATCTGCAGATTTGGGAAACGGACTATGTGAGAATCTGGTGACATGGGAATTTGCGAATTTGTGAATTCGAGAATTTAGGGATTGGGAAATTAGGAAATCTGGAGATCTAGAAATTAGAGAATGTGGACATTTGGAAATCTAGGAATTCGGGAATTTGAAATAATGAAAATAATTAAATTAATACATATTTAATATTTTAACAGTAATAATCAATGACTAGGATATGAATATTGCTCAACTATTATTTTCAATTAGTTTCGATCTTTTTCTTTCACAAAAGCAGATCCTCTTTACTTCATTTACGACTACAAATTTTCCCTTTCAAATAAACATTGCCTAAATATAAAAGAAAATTATCTAAGGTAAAGGTACCAGTTGTTGACCAGTTTTTATAAAACAAAAAATAAGGTTTGTATACTTTGTGCACATTTGATGAAAGTGAGCTTCAGATGCCACGATATTAGTCAGTTGAATTTTAAAACAATTAAATACAAAACGAAGTATGTTTACTGATAACATTTAATTCGTTAATGTAAGTAATAGAACGTTATATTTCTATTTCCTTAACGTTTTTCTTAAGAATAGCTGTATAGTTCAGGTAAAAAAGTTCATATGTTGTGAACATTTCGTGGATGAAATTTCTTCCAGTATAAGTGGTCAGCTACCAGCGAACAGAGAGTGAATTACTAGTTCTTCAATTTTTGAAAGTGGTCAACTGAAGCATTTACCGAATTTTTAAATATACTTTTGACATTTGTGTAATTTAAGTTTTAAAAGTGGTCCTGTTACATATTCTAGAAGGCTTAAAAAATGTCTCCAAGCATCAACTCTCCCCATTTCATGACAGAGCAAGTTACGACTGTTCACGTGGAAGATTTCTCTTAACCGGTCAACTACTGCTACCATTACCTTAATATTTTTTCTGTGTGGTAATGTTCGTCGTAAATTTTGCAACATTAGTTTCAAGTTCAGTAATAATGTTGTAACATAAGTTTGAAGAATGATAGTCACGTATCGTAGAAAGATAGTTTCAGAAATAATGACTTGAGAAATTAGCTGATTAAAACGTATACAACCATTAGAATTTGAAAATTATCGAGAAAGAAAAGGAATACAAAACAGTGACACGTGGATAAAAGTGTAACACATAAATGTACATTTGAAATTTAGAAATCTGAAACTTTCGTATTATAAATTTTTTATTTTAGGAAATTTCTTATTGTGAAAATATAATGTATTTGAATATTGCAAAATATATTTTGCAAATGATATGAAAAGGTACCACGTGGACACGTATTATTGGCGCGAGTGGGAGTGACTAAAACCGCCCCACACCTCTGCGCTCACACACAGCAGATGGTGCACCGTACGCAGGTCTAACCCCATGGGAAGCTCGAAGAGGAGACCAATGAGGTTCACGCAGTACCTCCTCAATTCCTACTATTCCAAATTAATTTTACAGATTAACCTGTTGACTCTAACCCTTTTCCAAATTCTACCAAAAAACAATTCTATCATTATTTCTTCCAAAACAATTACGTCCGAAACGCCAGAAGCCTACACAATTTGTTCATATAAAAGTGCCACAAAATAGAATTTACGATGTGTTAACTTGAAACTTAAAATTTGCTGAAAATTATTACGTAAAGTTTGCTCGAAAACTATTACGTAAAACTTTTCATGAATATATTTGAGTGTTTGTCAGAAAAACTTCTCGTTAATTACTCTGTACAATTCACAATATGCTTGTCTACTGATTAACAGTTTTATGCTTAGAATCTTAATGAAAGGTTTGTACTTTAAATCAAGCTTTAAATCCATGTAATACAAGTGCTATTTTGCGATTTTATGTCATCAAATTGAGTCAGATATCAGAGGTTCTCAAATTGATCTTCGTATAGTATATTCGGTAGCCAGCCATTTTCGAAACGTTAGTAAAACGTTGAAGTCACTTTACATTGAAAATATCAACGAGGCATTTATGTAATCATTTTCGATCGTCATTTAACTTTAAATTGATGTGTCATAAATATTTCATGATACTTTTATGTCACGAAATCGTATTAGTAGTTAGCTAAGTTAATAACGTTCATTGTTAACGACGAGTGATTTATTGTATACTTCAATAAAGAATCACTCATTTCGTATCAATAATATTGATGGGGCACTTGCACAGTCCTCTTGAATAAACTCTAAGCTTTAAACTGATATACCATACGTGCCACTTTGAGACACTTTTATGTCATGAAATTGTATTAGACTTTCCACGTTTCAAAATCAGTCATTCAACATCAAACGAAGCTCCACTATTTGTTATAATTGATAACCAACTATTTTATGTTAAGAATATTAATGAGGCACGTATATAGTTATTTTCTTTAGACTTCAAGCATTAAATTGATATAACATATGTACAAGTTTGAGATACTTTTATGTCATGAAATTATATTTGACTTTTGATGCACAAAACCGTGATATTTACTTATGTGTGCATAGGTAGGTAATGAAAATAAATAATCAAGATATTCATTTTCCGAAACTCGGTTTTATTCAAAATATTTATTTCCAGTTTTGTATTGCAAGATCTGCAAACATTTATTTAGATTTATTTTACTCGAAGCTTAATATTATTTTAAATAACGTCATACTCAGTATTGCACAATACCGAGAAATGAACATATAAATAATTTCTATACGACGAATTTTATAGAGCAACGTAAATTAGGGCATATTATGAATCAATTGTAAGAATGACATTGTTCTATCATATCAAATTTAAACTGTGCTACGTGTGCAAGCAATGAATTCATCGTTGACCCTCGTCCCTAAGAGTTCTTTTCCCTTCAAGATATATACAGGATCATTGTGAAACTTTCAATAAGGTAACTAGGGGGTTATTCCCTTTAGAAATGTATAGGGTGTCCAATTTTATTATATAGATACAATCTTTTAAATTGTTTGTTTTTCAAAAATATTTCAAGCAGTATTTATTTTGCAAGCTTTATAATAGGTAAGGTCAGTAATTTATTTCTAATTAGTAATAATGAATTATTACTTAAATTCATACTAATATTACATGAAAATATCCTGGTTTTGCACTTGAAATTTATTCCACGTGTTCAAATCGTCACATACAGTTTCCTTAATCAATATTATCGCCTTTAAAATGTCATTTTAAGGAATTTCTTCATGTTATATATCGGAAGCCAGTG